CACGCGTGTCTATTCATACGACAAGCGCTTCCGCAAATCAAGTAGGTAGTAGCTGACACAGCAACGAAATACTCTCCAACAGGAATCAGACCCGACGAGCCTTTTAAGGAATGTACAAGAGTCAGCAGGCTGTTGCTAAGGGGGCGGTGGGGTAGCCTAATGGTGAAAGCGTACGCTCGTCTCGCCTAAGACCCGGGTTCGATTCCCCACTTGGGTACAATGCATGAAGACCATTTCTGGTGTCTCCCCCTGATGTTGCATGCTGTATGATCCCCAGGGAGTTGAGATTGACAATACGATGTGCCGTTGAGATTGACATTCACTTGTAAGAATATGTACAAATCGGAAAATCCTACAATATACGATAGACACATATAACATACAGACACATGTGAGCTTCTTCACAGCTGAATCTGGGCGCCGCAATGTGATCTTCGCACTGATATTGTCATACGTTTATGTTAAAGTATGGGAATTGCGGTTATCGTGGCGCTGAGGTCGCTTTTGAGGAACGGGACGTCAAATTCAAATTATTATCGTCTATTGATATATAATGCACCCTATTATACCAATAGACCGCCTCCGTGGTGCAGTGGTTAGAGCGTTCGCCCGAAGAGCGGGTTCGATCCCCGACCACGTCATACCAAAAGACGTTAAAATATGGTACTTGTTGGTCCCTGCCTGGCGCTCGGCATTAATGGGTACAACAAGGTGTCGGCTCGGAGTCGGCTCGGAGTCAGTATAATGTGTCTGAGTGGGGTATCCATGCTTCACTGCGGCATGGTATCTCAGTGGGCTAGCACTATAAAGCCAGCTTAAGTCTGGGCTAGTACAAGCAGCTGCACATACACACACACACGCATGCACGTCGTCATATGAGCGAAATATTCTCAAGCACGACGTTAAATCCAATTTCCCGGGCCTTAGAGGGTGGTGGGCGTACCCTTGAGGTTTAAACGTTCGCTCGTCACGCCGAGACCAGAGTTCAATTCCCAGCATGGGTATGATATGCAGGGTCCATTTCTGGTGTCCCCCGCCGTGATATTGTTTGAATATTGCTAAAAGCGGCGTAAAAAATAACTACTCACTCCTCGTGATAAGGCTGCGCCATCGTCCACATTTGAGTAGGGTGATATAAAATCAGAAGAAGCCAATTGATTTTGTCACTTATGATGTTACATGCAGCAATAAGGGCCATATTCTTACCCGGAATGCCAACTAAATACCAAGAATAAATGAGAAATAGGCAGTCTTCTCTGCAATGACCTGACCCGTGACGGTCCGGGTTAGAAATGATCTTCAGTAACCCATGCTTGTCGTAAGAGGCGACTAACGGGATCAGGTGGTCAGGCTCACTCACATGGTTGACAAATGTCGTCGTATCCCAAGTGAGTAGATCGATGCTCATGATGTTGATCACTGGATTGTCTGGTCCAGACTCGATTATTTACAGACCGCCACCATATAGCTGGAATATTGCTGAGTGCGGCGTAAAACTAAACTCACTCACTGAGTGACATAAACACGTTGGAGGTATACGCTGACTGCACCCAGTGACCTCAGTAAAGTGGTAGGAAGCGCGGGAAGGGCATTATCATTGTTATACACCCACAGTATAACCCTGAAACAGTGTGATATAATAGTTCAACAAAAGCATCATTTTTTCACCCGTACTGCTCCGTCATTTTAACCCGGACAATTACACTTGACAGTTTCCCATGGCGTCAGTCACGATTTAGGCGTTATGCTGTAACCTATGAATTTCAATGACATTAATCGTTGCCATATTGTTAATTCAGTTATACGACACACACACAAGACCTTATACCTTGATACTTTTAACCAACAAAACTGGTTTTACAAACTCTCGCCTTGACGGGACATCAGCCTGAATGGCACATGCATGTAAATATGTAGAACATCACAAGTACTGAGTATAAAAGACACTTAGATCGGGTGGCCAGATTGATTGCATGGCAGCGTATCTTGACGACTTGATTTGATGTTCTTAATATCAACCACTGGACAGTCTGGTCCAGATTCCTTAAAGGTGTGGGGAAGCCGAGGGTGAATATGATGTGCCACATGATGAGTGAGTTCAAATGTTCGTCGTATCATAAGTACTGTAGTCGTAAGTTTGTTTGTTGTTTAAAAACACTCACCAATACTCCAACTGTATGACAGCGGTCTTTAAATCATTGAGTCTGGACCAGACAATCCAGTGATCAAGATCATGAGCATTTATTTACGCAATTGGGATGCGATGACATATGGGTCAACCAAGTCAGGGAGCCTGACCACCCGATCCCATTAGCCGCCTCTTACGACAAGTATGGGTTGCTGAAGACCGATTCTAGCCCGGATCTTCACGGGTCCCTCTTATGTCTAATACTATGTGCTGGAAAACAACACAGTAATACAACCCCAGAACACACCGAAATAAGTGAAGATCCGGGTTAGAATACGTCTTCAGTAACGCATGCTTGTCGTAATAGGCGACTAACGGGATCGGGTGGTCAGGCTCGCTGACTTGGTTGACACATGTCATCGGTTCCCAAATGCGTAGATCTATGCGCGTGCTGTTGATCACTGGATTGTGTGGTCCAGGCTGGATTATTTACAGACCGCCGCCATATAGCTGGACTATTGCTGAGTGCAGCGTTAAACAACAAACCAACCAACCGAAATAAGGCAATCCCGATTGTTTTCTGTACGATGGCGATAAAGTGCTCTGGATTAACCCACTAAAGCAGCATCACAGGTTAGATTATGTATGTCCTATCTCCAGTCACTATCGACTGAACAGCTCGGGTGGATAGGTGCCTGACACTGCCTACTCGCTCATAATACTGCACTATGGGCCATTGTCAACCTCGACAAACCATCGTGTCCCTTTTATTCGACCAGAAAGTAATTTCAAAGGCAATTCGACACTGCCCGCCAAATCGCGATTCCATCAAGGTAGCCAAAGAAGGACTAAGACCTGTACAATTTAATTGGATTTCTACATAATACAGATGGTTTCGCCTTATCAAACGGCCATGCTTCGATGGAGACTGGAGAAAACAGATCACTCAGTGATCCACTTGCGCCTAGATTCGTAAATAACATCATATGGAGCAGGTTGTGTTGAGTTGCGTACCTTGGGAACGCCTGGTCCCTAGAATCATGGGTTCGAATCCCAAATTCGTCTCGATTGTGATTCTCGGTTTGACAGCGTGTAGCTTCGCCAATATTTTAAACGATACCTGCATCACTTCGAGCTTTCCTTTTTCATCATGATGTAACGGAAATATATATTATTCAAAACGGCATTTAACAAAATTTTCTCACGCGCTATGGTGAGTGAGTGGGCTAGGTTTAACGCTGCTAACACAGTTCCGGTCACATGACGGTGAAAGCGCCATCTCGTGGGGATTCCGAGCAAGAATAGGTCAGGGATGGAAATAACCCATTGCCCGACGCCCGAGTCTTTTTTTCTGTCGGGCAAGCAAATTTGTATATCACACTGTACCGGTGTCCAGTTGACTTTCCAATGTTAATAATGGTGTTTATTTTAAAAAATCAACAAGAAGGTGGCTGGTATAGTGGAAAACTTATCAGGGCAAGTGATTTTACATGTGCCACTGTACCGGAGTACACCATCAATTTTAAAGTTATTTCCACCACTAATAGGTCCCAACCAATATACGAGTTTTTGCACAAGACTTGACTGGGAATGATGACACACAATCCAAGTCACCTATCTCAAGCACCGCCCTTTCCATATGGTCGCCTCTTGCGACCCGTACATGTCACTGTTGGCCTACTCTAACCCAGTGTTCCCACGTAACGTACTTACATCTGGCGGAACGGTCTGTTGGGAAAGGCTGCCTTTCAGTTACAAGTGAAGTCATACAAACAGATACACAGATTAACCGGATGTATTATTGCATGATGACAAGAGCCGAAGGGACCTATACATTCCCCCTGTCAAAGGGCCAGTGTTATACGACTTTGTCATTTTGTGACTGATTATAGGACATGTGTCATAAGTATTTAAAGTTAAGTGCATTTAACTTATATGATGCAGTGAATATGTCAATATGTACTACGGATATAATAGTGAGTGAGTGAGTTGTGTTTTACTTTCTTTCGTGAACACCTGATTTTCTGTGATCTGTTCATATGATTTTCACCCCTTATTCTTCCCTTAAAACCAAACGGATTTTGTTTCTAAGGATAGTCAAGTCTGTGTATTCTTTTACACCACATGGGTACAATGTGTGAAGCCTATTTCCGGTGTCCCCCGCCGTGATATTGCTGGAATATTGCTAAAAGCGGCGTAAAACTAAACTCGCTCACTTTAACACTGACGTTCTATATCATGTTCACTGAGTTAAGCGACAGGCACTTAGGCATACTACGAAATTACGATTGTCGGTAGCATGGGACATGTTCCCGGTCTCTCAGAAACCAAAATGAGTCACGCATATACGGAAATGCGGACACAATGCATACACAATGTAAGGGTCCTATAAAAATGTGTACGGGTAACTATATTTACTTCACACTGAACCAATCCCATGCTGTATACATCAAGCACGTCAAATTAATATTTAACTGGATTTAATACACTAAGTGCACATACAGCCTGTGAAAGGGGAGGGTAGATTTAGAGGGATCGGTTCCACTTAAAACACATCATGTGAGATGGATTCAATTATATTTTCAAAGCGATATATACGCGGTTCGACGTTGGTATTGTCTCACATATATGTTTAGTGATTTGTTTATACAACTACATCCTAGGAATGACACGTGTATCGCTAGGGCTTTTATACGATACGATACACAATAAACGTCTATATATACTCCGCCAGTTCACAATTCAAACTTGTGTCAACACAACCCCAATTCACACCAATTCAAAAATATCGTCTGCTCATCTCGACTGTGTCGTCTGCTTGTCCGCTTAATAATTTGCGGCTAAATTTACTGATATGAATTCGTACACTTACTTTCTTATATGTCTCCCGGTAAAATCCACCACTTTCTTTGAATTGTGTTCGTTCAGTTTGAAAATCGCTGTCCCTTGTCGGCTAGTCAGCTACTCCGCGAGCAGACGGCAATGTGAGTAAACCGTAAAACTATGGTTGTGGTGTCTCCGTCGGCTCGCCCACGCTTATCGCTGGGACACCCCTGTCCCAATGAAACAGGTGTTTCGGTCGGGGCTCTCTAGTTTTGTCACCGGCCCCAAACGAGGGCAAACACTCTTCGCCACACCTGTTTGTATAACATCAGTTGTGGAACGCAATGAATTTAGTCTTGTAAGGGGATGTAACTGCTGAAGGGTAAGATATTATTCACGTCGCGAGCGATGAGTGCTTGAAGCGGTGAAGAAGTATATTACCCATTGAATACACATTGAATGGAATATTTCAAATAACGTGTAATTTTCAGGTCTGTATAACCGAACGAGACCTGAGTTTAAGTAGGGTACAATGAAATATGTCGTCTCCGTTTGTTCAACGAATCATCTGTAGATATCAATAGAGAGAATCAGACAGATACTTCATTTTTCGATTCGTCTAAGGCCAAATAAAGAGAATTCATGTCAGAACAACTGATAGACTCTAATCTTTTGCAAGCGACCTTCGGTCAAAATTCAGCATTTTAGGGTTTTGTTTACAAACCAAATTGAGAAAAACGTTTAGAAGTTGGAAAAAAATGAATAGATGAGTCACATACATAGTTTCCCGTCCCTATGTACAACTATTTTTATTGACAAACACTACTGACTAGAAGTTGCTGGGATATCCCGAAGAAGAGGAAATCGAGTCTAGGGTCAATGACCATAGGCTTCTTATACACTTGAAGTCCTGAAATTTCTTTTGTCATTTTTAAGCTCAATAACCATAGTCTTCCTATACGTTTGAAGTTTTGAAATGTCTTTTTTCATTTGTAAATGAGTAAGTATGGTTTTATGCCGCTTTCAACAATATTGCATTACACCGGGGAACCGCAAAATTGGGCTTCACAGACTATACCCGAATACAGATCTTGACATTACGAGAAAACACTTTAACCACTAAGCTACAAGACAACCTTCTGTATTGATAAATCTGAAAACTGTAACCTACTGCATCCATGTGTGACCGATGCGTTAAACAACAACGAAACAAGCAGACCATCACCAACTCAAGAACCTCTTGTTTTGTAACATTCTGTTGCAATCATCATTTGATCCCCTTCTTTGTGGGACCTTGTTCGTCGTGAGTCAAGGCATTCCGAATGCATGTTCTGGTGCTCCCACAATCGACCTCATGTTTGCTGACATCATGCATATGTTTACTCTTCGCCGTGATGCAGCCAGAATATTGTTGACCGGTTGGAAACTAAATGTTATTGCGTCTTTCTATAGGATACTGAGTCTCGCTGATAAAAGTGAAATTTGTTGCGGCAGAACTCAGGTAGTTGTTACTTGTGTCGACTCGTTTTGATATATGATTATAAAATGTATGGATAATACTTCTTTTATTATTTTAATGCACTCACGAAATAAAGTTTGTTGTACATACAATTTTTCATTATTGCACTTCCCAACTCTCAAAGATCTCGGTGGTCGCTTAGGCGAGGTTCTCTTCATATGTTGGCAGTCCGACTACACGTCCCTGCTTCGTGTGAATCCCATCCATATACTGTTAAATCGTTGATTTCAATAATAAGATATGCAAATATGCGTCAATGTTAGAGATTAACCATTATCAGTTGTCCGCAACTTTGGCGTAAATGGCGAATACACGTGTACAATAGATTAAATGGTGAAAAACTGGGTAGCAGTTTTATTTTCTGTCTTTCTCATCGCCCGACTGACCCTTCTAATTTTACTGCCAGCGTCCCCCCCCCCCCTCCAACACCGCCGACTCGAACCTCAAACGTACCACCTCGTCATATAAAATGTTATATTTTAATCAGTCGCTGCCACATGTCTACAGAACGCAAGAAATTGTAATAAGAATTACAATGAATGAGAATGGAGAACATCATACAGCTAAGTCTGTCTTTATTAAGTTTTTTATGTTTTTGTATTTTCCCCGACCGACCGACCCATGTTCAGAATTTGGTGGCTACGTGAAACACATAAAAAATGATGCCCATTGTGAGTGGACTTGCAAAAATAAAAAAACCCCCAACGACCGCCAAAAAACAACAACGAACGAAAGTCTAAAAATCTGTCGAAATAAAAAGGTACGTACATCTACGAACCCGAACCTGATATCCATGAACGTGTGTTCAGTTTTTGTTGAGAAGGTTGAAATAAACTTAATAATACCATAAAAGGAAAGATTCGATTCTTCCAAGACGAGTTCGTACACATAGCAATCGTATGACCGTAACATGTTCACAGCCGGTAGTTTACGACAATGGTGGGCTGTGTGTCGCCTAGTAACCTGTCCCAGTCATTATTAAACGGTGATTCATTTACTGTGTGACGTCACGTCGAAGGAAGTCACAAGTTAAGCTGGGACCACGCCCCAAAGTGTTATTAACAGACATTTGGAAATATGTAGACATGCGACGACTAAAGGGAAATAACCGTGACTGTATGTATACAGCATTGTTTACTTTCACTCACGATGTGCTTGGACGCATCAACGTAACATTTCTCGTCAAGGACAGTAGAAAGACAGAAATGACTCAATAAAGTGACCTATTTCGATAATTCGCTGCCAAACACAAGTTGTTCTTTTATCAAACTTGATAACAAATGAGAAATAGAAGTAACTTAAAGTCAAACAAACCGATTTTACCACTTGGTCAGATATGAACAAAGCAGTGTTCAGTTCTTGTGGGAGGGGAATTTCGAGAATAACGAATGTACTGTGATTTGGAAGATAAAATTTTACAATTCAACAAATGAGGTCCAATGAAATAATGCAGGATGAGTGTCTACTAAATCTTAGCACACAAGCGGCTCGTTGGTCTAGTGGTATGATTCTCGCTTCGGGTGCGAGAGGTCCCGAGTTCGACTCCCGGACGAGCCCAACATTTTGCAAGAAGATTTGAAGCTGAATTGCATCTCCTCTCAGTTCAACGATGTTGTGTATGTCAAAGCATCCTTTGTCAAGTGATAGCATTACAAAGATTTTCATGTTTTTGAAACTGAAATGAAAAACCGTATGCACGCTGGAACCGTCTAACAGTTAACTTGAAGCTTTTGAGGACGTGCTTAGTTTTCAGAAGTAGAAAAGTGATCTGAAGGCGATTGTTTCCAAGGGATTTGACTCAGCTGCATTATAACCCAAGCCCATTCACTGCATTCTGTAAGTCGTGTTGTGAAATGAAGTGAAGCCCCAAAGCCTAAAGATGCGACTTCATTTGTTTAGTTGGTCCTTTTGTTACGAAATGCTATATTGGAAGTAGATGCTTGATGTATATTTACTTTAATAACTGAGAGATTAATAAACACAGAAATGTATAGTGAATGTTCATTTGAGCACGGCCGTAGATAAGATACTAGGTATTCTCAGCATATGGATTGGGGTAATGTGTTTAACTGAATGAAATGAAGAAGAAATGAGGTCACATGTGTAACCAGGTTCTTTGATCTGGACGCTTCTCTCCCAGGAACAGCTCATGTAGAAATGAACAACCTCGTGATTCGTCTAGTGGTTCTTTATTAAACGTCTTCGAACGGTACGTTTATCATAAGTTACAGCACAGGCACTTGACAATCGTACTGCAAGTCAGCCTGAGTGTTTAGGGAGCGCAGCGACCTCTGACCAGCTACTCTACCCCCGCAAACCGTTCTCCCCAAATCACAATTTCCCCTTAGTTTTATTCCCAGGTTTGCTCACATCAAAACCCCAATTCATCAAATCAGAAGTCCAGAACATGACTGTTTTGCTGGACTGTCCTTTAGATGCCATATGCTATACCTAATTATTAAGCTTTGATCGACTACAAGCCCCTGTACTAGTGACAGGGAACAAGTCTTGTACCTTGTTGCCACTGTCATTCGGCTCTATTAATCCCCTGCTACATTACCCCTTGTCCACTGTGACATGGTCCGAGTCGTAATCTCCCTCTGACCATGGCCCAAGAACTCAACTACAACTTGGTACACTGTCCGATGTCACCCCGCCTCGGACATCCCATTAATATCTATAATCCGTTACTATCTGCGCTCCCGGTTCTCACGTACAACTTTCCTTTACAGTTAAATACCCAGTTAACACACAGTTTATAAATTCATACATATTACTGCATGCACAAACATAAAATAATATAACATTAATCAACAATAAAACATATTCTTATTATTATTAAATTAAACCGGAGAGTGTAGCTCCCGGTTACAATCCTCCCCTTCTTAGGGTAAGAAAATACTACTCAGTAGAATTTTCTTGCATATCAGTATATATATTTATTCATGTCCCGTCATGGTTTTCTCCACAGTTCAGTTCACCTCATTATGGAAGGATTTCACGGTCCCATTTTCCATCTAATCAAGTCACAGGTGTCTGATCACTCATATAATAAAAGGTCCATTAATAGTCAAAATGTTTTCACAGTCCTTTACAAAATCCTTTACTTGAGTTCCACCTTCACCGCCAATAACCACACACATAGATGCGACTATATATTTATATATCTGCATGCATTCATCCTCAGAATTTTCACCACAGAACCACATCACTTTCACATACACTTGTCGTCGTCATCGCCTCCATGAGTTTGTGCTCTTGAACTCCCTCTTCAGTTCACCAACCGAAACGATCCTACACCAATAGCAGGTTGCGTTGTGAGATTAAGAGTTGTCAGGGGGCTTCTCTCACCCTCCGGCTCTCTTTCTCGTTCATTGTAGTCTTCCCTCAGTCTCTCGCTCGGGGATGATGATCGTTTTCTTTTACGGCCAGTTACTCGGGGAGTCGTTCTTGGACTTGCCTCAGGCATCTGCATACGACAAGGTTCTGCGTAGGTGTGACTGGAGTTCGTTCGTGCTCTCAAGGTGGGTCGACGGGCTACTTCTCTCAGCTCTACCAAATTATTTTCAATTCGTTCGTTGGCTAGATTCCTATCCCTACATCTACTCCTTAGATAACAATGCCTTAATACTCCTGTGTACATACTTAGTGACATTCTCATATTTACCTCTTGGAATTTGTAATTCATTCACTGTATTTTTAAAAATACCTACATTGTCCCTAACTGTATCAAGCTGTCGGTCGTACGGTCGTAGGTCCACAGTAAAGGATACTAACCATGTACTGTAAGAAGCATATACGTCGTTTAAGTGCACAAACTTCACCCCTGGCAATGTCAACCCTTGTTGTACAGTCGACATCAATAAAACTAATCCTGGTAGCAATAGAGCTGAGAGAAACCCTCCTCCCATCTTGAGATATAATTGGAGTTCCTGGGTGAAGTCTGGTTTCCAGATCCTGGTCTCGGCACCAAGAAAAGTTCGCTAGACCACGCTGTCTAGGTTGTAACCAGGTTCTTTGATCTGGACGCTTCTCTCCCAGGAACAGCTCATGTAGAAATGAACAACCTCGTGATTCGTTACATGATATGTATAGGCTGTGATGAGAGCATCGGTAAACGTGTGGTACATTAATGGCTCGTTGGTCTAGTGGTATGATTCTCGCTTCGGGTGCGAGAGGTCCCGGGTTCGACTCCCGGACGAGCCCAAAGTTTTGCAAGAAGATTTGAAGCTGAAATGTCTCTTCAGCATCAGCTTGGAAACTTTTGTCGATGAATGTAGGTCTGAAAGATGTACAAACCCTCATTGAGTTTTGATTACAGGAAAGTAAACTCCACATTAAAAGAAACCCTATAGCCATTGACTTGTAGGTCTTGAGGATGTGGTCTGTTTTCAGGAGCAGACATGTGATTTGAAGACAATTGTTTCTCGTGGATTTGATTCACTTACGTCATAACCCAAGCCCAAGCCTACAAATGTGCGTAAATGATTTTGGAGTTGGTACCTTTCTGAAATAACCCATTGTATTAATGCAAGATGCTGTATTCATGACATGATCGAACAATTCGTAAATACTGAAAAAGTATATTAAGGAGACTGATTTTGAGCATGATCAAATGAATGTGTCCCAGCGATGGGTTTCCCCAGCAAAGGAATGGAGGTGAAATGTTTCAATTGATGAAATGAATGAGAAATGAGGTCCAATAATATATACAGCTGTGATCGGAGTGTCTATGAAAATTGCGTATTGTAGCGGCTCGTTGGTCTAGTGGTATGATTCTCGCTTCGGGTGCGAGAGGTCCCGGGTTCGACTCCCGGACGAGCCCAACATTTTGCAAGAAGATTTGAAGCTGAATTGCCTCTCCTCTCAGTTCAATGAAGTGAAGCTCCCAAGCCTAAAGATGTGGCTTCGTTTGTTTAGTTGGTCCTTTTGTTACGACATGCTATATTGGAAGTATGTGCTTGATGTATATTTACTGTAACAACTGAGAGCATTAATAACTGGAAGAGATATTTATAAACTGAGAGATTAATAAACACTGAAATGTATAGTGAATGTTCATTTGAGCACGGCCGTACATAAGATACTAGGTATTCTCAGCATATGGATTGGGGTAATGTGTTTAACTGAATGAAATGAAGAAGAAATGAGGTCACATGATATGTATAGGCTGTGATGAGAGCATCGGTAAACGTGTGGTACATTAATGGCTCGTTGGTCTAGTGGTATGATTCTCGCTTCGGGTGCGAGAGGTCCCGGGTTCGACTCCCGGACGAGCCCAAAGTTTTGCAAGAAGATTTGAAGCTGAAATGTCTCTTCAGCATCAGCTTGGAAACTTTTGTCGATGAATGTAGGTCTGAAAGATGTACAAACCCTCATTGAGTTTTGATTACAGGAAAGTAAACTCCACATTAAAAGAAACCCTATAGCCATTGACTTGTAGGTCTTGAGGATGTGGTCTGTTTTCAGGAGCAGACATGTGATTTGAAGACAATTGTTTCTCGTGGATTTGATTCACTTACGTCGTCATAACCCAAGCCCAAGCCTACAACAAATGTGCGTAAATGATTTTGGAGTTGGTACCTTTCTGAAATAACCCATTGTATTAATGCAAGATGCTGTATTCATGACATGATCGAACAATTCGTAAATACTGAAAAAGTATATTAAGGAGACTGATTTTGAGCATGATCAAATGAATGTGTCCCAGCGATGGGTTTCCCCAGCAAAGGAATGGAGGTGAAATGTTTCAATTGATGAAATGAATGAGAAATGAGGTCCAATAATATATACAGCTGTGATCGGAGTGTCTATGAAAATTGCGTATTGTAGCTGCTCGCTTCGGGTGTAGCGGCTCGTTGGTCTAGTGGTATGATTCTCGCTTCGGGTGCGAGAGGTCCCGGGTTCGACTCCCGGACGAGCCCAACATTTTGCAAGAAGATTTGAAGCTGAATTGCCTCTCCTCTCAGTTCAATGAAGTGAAGCTCCCAAGCCTAAAGATGTGGCTTCGTTTGTTTAGTTGGTCCTTTTGTTACGACATGCTATATTGGAAGTATGTGCTTGATGTATATTTACTGTAACAACTGAGAGATTAATAAACACTGAAATGTATAGTGAATGTTCATTTGAGCACGGCCGTACATAAGATACTAGGTATTCTCAGCATATGGATTGGGGTAATGTGTTTAACTGAATGAAATGAAGAAGAAATGAGGTCACATGATATGTATAGGCTGTGATGAGAGCATCGGTAAACGTGTGGTACATTAATGGCTCGTTGGTCTAGTGGTATGATTCTCGCTTCGGGTGCGAGAGGTCCCGGGTTCGACTCCCGGACGAGCCCAAAGTTTTGCAAGAAGATTTGAAGCTGAAATGTCTCTTCAGCATCAGCTTGGAAACTTTCGTCGATGAATGTAGGTCTGAAAGATGTACAAACCTTCATTGAGTTTTGATTACAGGAAAGTAAACTCCACATTAAAAGAAACCCTTTAGCCATTGACTTGTAGGTCTTGAGGATGTGGTCTGTTTTCAGGAGCAGAAATGTGATTTGAAGACAATTGTTTCTCGTGGATTTGATTCACTTACGTCATAACCCAAGCCCAAGCCTACAAATGTGCGTAAATGATGTTTGAGTTGGTACCTTTCTGAGATAACCCATTGTATTAATGGAAGATGGTGTATTCATGACATGATCGAACACTTCGTAAATACTGAACAAGTATATTAAGGAGACTGATTTTGAGCATGACCAAATGAATGTGTCCCAGCGATGGGTTTCCCCAGCAAACGAATGGAGGTGAAATGTTTCAATTGATGAAATGAATGAGAAATGAGGTCCAATAATATATACAGCTGTGATAGGAGTGTCTATGAAAACTGCGCATTGTAGCGGCTCGTTGGTCTAGTGGTATGATTCTCGCTTCGGGTGCGAGAGGTCCCGAGTTCGACTCCCGGACGAGCCCAACATTTTGCAAGAAGATTTGAAGCTGAATTGCATCTCCTCTCAGTTCAACGATGTTGTGTATGTCAAAGTTTGTCAAGTGATAGTATTACAAAGATTTTCATGTTTTTGAAACTGAAATGAAAAACCGTATGCACGCTGGAACCGTCTAACAGTTAACTTGAAGCTTTTGAGGACGTGCTTAGTTTTCAGAAGTAGAAAAGTGATCTGAAGGCGATTGTTTCCAAGGGATTTGACTCAGCTGCATTATAACCCAAGCCCATTCACTGCATTCTGTAAGTCGTGTTGTGAAATGAAGTGAAGCCCCCAAGCCTAAAGATGCGACTTCATTTGTTTAGTTGGTCCTTTTGTTACGAAATGCTATATTGGAAGTAGATGCTTGATGTATATTTACTTTAATAACTGAGAGATTAATAAACACTGAAATGTATAGTGAATGTTCATTTGAGCACGGCCGTAGATAAGATACTAGGTATTCTCAGCATATGGATTGGGGTAATGTGTTTAACTGAATGAAATGAAGAAGAAATGAGGTCACATGATATGTATAGGCTGTGATGAGAGCATCGGTAAACGTGTGGTACATTAATGGCTCGTTGGTCTAGTGGTATGATTCTCGCTTCGGGTGCGAGAGGTCCCGGGTTCGACTCCCGGACGAGCCCAAAGTTTTGCAAGAAGATTTGAAGCTGAAATGTCTCTTCAGCATCAGCTTGGAAACTTTTGTCGATGAATGTAGGTCTGAAAGATGTACAAACCCTCATTGAGTTTTGATTACAGGAAAGTAAACTCCACATTAAAAGAAACCCTATAGCCATTGACTTGTAGGTCTTGAGGATGTGGTCTGTTTTCAGGAGCAGACATGTGATTTGAAGACAATTGTTTCTCGTGGATTTGATTCACTTACGTCATAACCCAAGCCCAAGCCTACAAATGTGCGTAAATGATTTTGGAGTTGGTACCTTTCTGAAATAACCCATTGTATTAATGCAAGATGCTGTATTCATGACATGATCGAACAATTCGTAAATACTGAAAAAGTATATTAAGGAGACTGATTTTGAGCATGATCAAATGAATGTGTCCCAGCGATGGGTTTCCCCAGCAAAGGAATGGAGGTGAAATGTTTCAATTGATGAAATGAATGAGAAATGAGGTCCAATAATATATACAGCTGTGATCGGAGTGTCTATGAAAATTGCGTATTGTAGCGGCTCGTTGGTCTAGTGGTATGATTCTCGCTTCGGGTGCGAGAGGTCCTGGTTCGACTCCCGGACGAGCCCAACATTTTGCAAGAAGATTTGAAGCTGAATTGCCTCTCCTCTCATTTCATTTGGGCTTTTTATCTGTATATTTTAAGAGTTTATGTCGATGACATTGGATAGTATTGATTTGATTTCCCCTTTTCATATGCTTCTAAATAATAAAGCTTGGAATTTCAGGATAACCAAAGCATTCCCCAAATGGTAAAATGGTTGAAGTAGAATTGGCCAATCAAATATCGTGTTACAACTCGGTACTTGTTTAGAAACATGTAGCTCCCGACAGGAAGTAAAGCTTTGATGGCGATTTCGTTAGGGAAAGTCTAGTTTCTGTCAACGGAAAGAGGATATCTGCAAACTTGACGTAAGTGAATGGAAAGCAGTGCCCTGATTTCTGAAAGGGGATAATTAATATTCCGTTGGTGTAAGCTGTGTGTTGCGTGTGAGAATCAGGTTGTCGGTGATCCAGTATGAATCGTCGGGTTTTTCTCAGCTAGTGTGATCGATTTCACCTGTCCGGTAAGCAGCACTACCCCAAGATCACGTGAGGCTAAAGGTGTTTTTTGAATTCGGAGCTTACATTATCATGCCTTTTATGTAAGAAGTAATAACGTTTTTGAACTGTCGATTATATTTTCTGTGAAAGTGTTGTAGAGGTCAGTTTGTATCCTGAAATGAACCATCTGGTCACTCAACGCTGACCATCTTTGTCGGAAAGCATGCGTTGACCTTGCTAAACATATCGAATAACAGTTGAAAATATCAAGATATATTTGTACAACTTCAGAACACTTTGACAGAAACTGTATAACATTCCTTTTGTAAACAAGTATCTTTGCAATAGGTCATTAAGTGCAGAACAGATAGCCCGTGTTTAAGTGTTTATGTTCTTGGTTTTCACATTCTTTGCCCTGTTTCAAATAATTCACTTATATATTTTGTCAGCATTCATGTGATTGTAGGAATTCTTCCAATTTAACATGTTTAATGTTGAAATAAATGGATGGTATTGCTGTATTTCTGCAATAATTATCATAGGTGGATCCAGAGGGGGTGTTCAGGGGTGTGCACCTCCCCATTTGTCCTGAAAGTTTATCAAATGACCATTGAAACTCTCGTAAAAATGGGTGAAAATAAAGTGTGTGGCAGAGGACAGAATAGTTAGATTAGAATACCATACACCGTATTTCCTCTAATAAGCGCCGGGTCTCTAATAAGCACCAGGGGTAATGCAACTGTTCAAGAAATAAGCGCTGGGTCTCCAATAAGTGCCAGGTCTTTAGTAAGCACCGAGTGTGCCACATGTTTACAATGTAGTTTTCAAATAAAACACCAATGGACAATCTGTATTTATTTCTATTGTACCTTTAAGCGCCAGGTCTCCAAGAAGTGCCGGTCTACTAATAAGTGCCGTGTCTGAAAGTCTGTTGAGAAAAAACAAATGCCCTGGCGCTTATTGGAGGAAATACGTTAAGTCACAAGCACCCTATTGCTGATCAATAGATGCTGACCATTTGGATGAGGGTGTGTGACTTTGCTGCACATCTGTCTCTCTTGATGGATTTGTCAGGCATCATTTAAATTATTTTTGCCAGTCTAAATCCAGAATTATATATAAACAGATTTGATATTGTTTTTAAGACTATCTGGTCGACATTCGAGTGACATGTGATTTATAGGGAAACTCTTCTCCCCCGGAATCCAGATGAGGTTATGGCCGGCATAGGTTGCTGGGAACCTGTTCTAAGCACAAATCTGTGTGATGCCAGGACCGGTATAGGTGCTAGAAAGCTTTACATACTGAGATTCCAGTTTATATTACAACCAGCACATGTTGCTGGGGACCTGTCCTAAGCAAGAGGGGTGGTGGGGTAGCCTAGTGGTTAAAACGATTGCTAGTCATGCTGAAGACCTGGATTTGATTCCCCACATAGGTACAATGTGTGAAGCCCATGTCCCTCTTCCAGGTATTGCTGGAATTCGTACTGCTAAAACAGCGTAAAACCATACTCACTCACTCTAACCAAGAATCCCTACAACTTTGTCCCTTATGGCAGTCGGTTGCTGGAAACCTTTCAAATCCAGAATTCAAATTAGGCCAGGCTTGGGAGCTATTCTAACGAAGAATCTCCACTAAGTTACAGCCATCATAGGCGGCTGTAAACATATTTGATCTAAATAAAAAATTTCCTGATATTTCTCTGAGTGTTCAGTGACCAGTAATATTGAAAGGAGCAGTTAGAAAGATGGAGGTAGTGAAAAGTATATGAAAGGTCTGTCTCCTAAATCTTTAATATTCTTTCATGAATATTTGACCAAGGACAGATATTGTGAAAACTTGTAATATTCATTATTTCAAATGCACTTGTTCATTTAATCACTTTCAAATGTAAATATAGTCTTGCAAATATCTGGTTTTGATTGCACTAATGGGTGCAGTGAGTGAAGCCCATATCAGGTGTCTTCTATCTTGATATTGCTGGAATATTACTAAAAGCAAGCATAAAGCAAAACTCACTTGGAAAAAACAAGAATAGAAAAGACCAAGCTTATTCCTTGAATATCATCAGGAAACAAGTTTTTATTGCAATTATTTGACATATTTTTTTAACATTTAGAGAGTTTTAGTGGGACTTGTCTCGTCTAGCAGAAAAATTGTTTTTGTAGGACCCTGACAAAGAGTTTCAGACAAAGAGTTTCAGACACAGCCATGAGGGCGACGTTTGATAACACTGCTTGTTGATATTTTGTCAGGTTAGGGAGGGTCCGTTCGCAAATACAAAATTCCATGATCCCTCAAAAAAAATGGATTGTTTGAACTTGTTTTTGATGAAGAAAACCCATGTACCATACTAGTTTCAAATAAGATCTATAAACTTCCCTGCAGTGCATACAGAAACAAGAAAAATACTCTCAAATATTTGAAAAATGATTTCTTTTGTAAATGAAACAATACTCGACAGTCGTACAAAGTTGGTGTTACATGTTATATTTTCGCTTATGAAGGATTCCGTTTTTGTGTCCTGTTGATATTTGTTAAACAATAACAAGTGGTAACCTCTGACTCTGCGTGTTAAAAGAAAAATAACAAGCTGTTCTGAAATGGTGTTTGTTCACATAGTCGCAGTGCATTTAGCCATCATGCTTAAAAGCTGATTGTATAACTCAGGTTGTAGCTCAACTGACATCGAATTTTGTGCAGATCTGTTGAATTTTGTGTTGGTTAGGAGTCACTTGGTTAAACATTGTTAAACTGTTATTATGATCACCATAGATGCTCTCGGCCCCAGGTTCATATCAAACACATAGACTTAAATAATATTTGCATTTGTGCAGATGTAAAAACACCCATTATGTAAATCCATGTAGCTGATATTGGCATTGTGTGTACACCAGTGGATTGGATGGTCAGACTTGGTGACAAATAAAACAATATTCATGAAGAACATAGCACAAAGAAACCAGGCCTGTCTCACCACTATAAAGACTTGGTTGATGGAGTATCATTAGGCCCATGATCACTCTTCTGTCTTCCCCAATAGTGATAGTTTTCTTTCAAAATATAGCAGTGAATCGGCAATGAATTGTTAGTTTTTGTAATTTTGTATTTTAAGCTTGTCCTGAGGTGAAAACCTATTTCACAACCCTGCAACATTTGTAGCAAGTTCTGCTTGAACAACACAAGCATGTTTCCTGTGCTTACATTATCTGTCAGTTTTATTTAATTCCAACTTTGGAAAAATTTAAACATTGACAAATGGTTCAGAATTATTTCCATCATATGCTCCCAGTCAGTGAGATCCACCACTGACTTGTCATCTGTACAGTTTTGTAGTCTTGGGCCATGAGACTAAAGTGAATTTTGTAAGGCTGAACTTTAACATATATAGACAAGGACATGGTATCTACAGTGACTGTAACTTCCTTATAATTTGTCCACACTGTCGGTGATATTGGCTTCATGTAGGTTAAGTTTCAATTTGAAAATAATTGTTAATGTAATAAATATTTCCTCATTTCTTCAGGATATGACCAATGGATTCTTTATCAACCAGTTAATTATTTTCCTCAGAGCAACATGTTCTGTTTTTGGGAAAGAGTATTTTCTGTAATGGTGGAAGTAGAGAATTGATGAATATTTTTTTCTGTCAGAGTCATTTTAACAAGGAGAGTCTCAATACTTCTTTGTCACCTTTGACAAAGAATGAACACACAAAATAAAATATAGGCGAACAGGGGAAAGAATATCCGACTTTTTTAACTGCTAAGAGAATAGCCTTGTTGATGTGTGTTTACACATGTAACACTGAATTGTTCAGAACATTTTCCTTCTTTGTGTTAAAAACACACAAGGTTGTTTGAAGACGGAAGCATGATATGATCGCCAGCCCCAAACAGGGTGAGTGGCTGTTTGAATAACAGATTATTTGAATTGTTTGGTTTTAAAAAGTGGGTCCTCACGAGGGCTGGTCAGAAAATGGGCCTTTTCTTAAAGGCTCCTATTTACATTTACTTTATAGATATTTGATACTGCTTCATGTGTTTAGTGTTCGTTTTGGTAATGTGGTTTTGACCAAAAACAAATTTATGGTGAACCTTGTTTAGCAATTTCCCCCCTTTTCATAAAGTGCTTATAGTGGTGAGACAGGGCTTGTTGCTTTGTGCTATCTTTTTCATGAATATTGTATTATCTGTATGGGTTTTATACAAAGGGGACCTAAGCTATGTTTATTTGTTATTATTTTGACAAATGGAAAAGAAGGATAACAGTGATAATTACTTCAACCACATTAACATTGTATTAAGAATTATATGATACTATTAATATATTTTCTTAGACGTGATTTGTCTAAATGGTCGCCACCTAGTCCTATTTTTGATGAGCATTATGGTATAAATGTATCATTTTGAATGTTTTTAACTCAACACAGATCCAAGTAATGTTTTGAGTATTTACCACAAGTCATCACTCATGATAGATATTGATAGTTTTCTTTTGGTATTTATTACATTATTACACCTTTGTATCCAGACTTAGGACATTGAAGTGGAACACTTTTTTTGTCTATCCATAAAAAGTATTCCTCTTCACCATATCAGCTTCTAAATGCCACTTAAGGAAGTATTAGGACATTAATAACCCAAACATCTTGTTCAAATTATTCTGTTGAAAGTGACTTGGATGACTTCTAATTTGTATCAGTGTGCAACCGCAAGTATCTTAAGATGTCACATTCACTCTAACGCCATTATACATGTCTGAATAACAATAAGCTAGACCTAGAGCCCTCTATCTGCATTATTCACTGCAGCAGAGCTGATGTCTGTACTCACTCAGTAAATAAGATCTTTCAGAAATATGGC